AACAGAAAAATAAATATAAAAAAAAAAAATTTAACATAAAAACAATATCGTAAATATTAAACGTTTTTCAATGGATAAAACGAATCGGTACTGTAAATTATCAAAATTAATTGAAATTTTTGTACAAAACGTATTATACAATCTGCGGGAAGGGGGGTTTGGGGGAATGGGGAGATATATTATGTGAATATCAAATATCTAAATCGCGTAAAATAAAATCATCATAAAAAAAAAAAAAAGAGAATAAATTCATTTGTAGAAATATTTTCAAAGTGTCCATAAGACAATAGCAATTCCATTCCTGTAAGAACCATAATTTGTGGACATTGTCGAGAAAGTAATATAAGACCATTACCGTCAGAGTTGTTCCAGGTAACATAAGAGAAAAATAAAAGGAATTCGTGAAAGAAGAATCTAATCCGGGTATCCGGATTACTCGTTACGAAAAATAACATTTCTTTTAAAGTAAAACTTCTTCGTTGTGTATAACCATTAAAAGTACAATAACCTTTTGATAATACATTATTTCAATTGTGTAAATAGTTTTTGTATATATATATATTCATATATTCGACGAAATATGAAATATATTGGAAGACGAAATATTTTTTTTTAGATTTTTCTATAAACAAATATTTCTCAGCAAAAAAAAATGCCGAGAATAATAGTAATTAAAATAATAGGTTTTTTTCTAAAGAAGAAAAAAGCAGGCAGAAAATAAAAACGACTTACCTTCCGAAGTCTTTCCAATTCCTCGATGTTCACGTAGGAATGGTTCGACTGTAAAAAAAAAATAAGAGAAAAAAAAATTAACCATTGTTTTTATCAAGGCTAATGGTAATATATATGGTAGACATTTTGACTTATAAATTTTTCAAATTAACAAGAATAATGTTAGTATCTACTTTATAATAGTTTTTTTTCTTAAATGGATAGCCATGACGGTAAAAAAAAAAAGAAAAAGATCAATTTTTTTCAAATTGCACAGGAAAAACAATTTGGTAGACATTTTGACTAATAAATTGTTCAAATTAACAAGAATATTGTAAATATCTACTTTATATTAGTTTTTTTTCTTAAATGGATCGCCATGACGGTAAAAAAAAAGAAAAAGATCAATTTTTTTCAAATTGCACGGGGAAAAAAATTTGGTAGACATTTTGACTAAAAAATTGCTCAAATTAACAAGAATAATGTTAGTATCTACTTTATATTAGTTTTTTTTTCTTAAATGGATCGCCATGACGGTAAAAAAAAGAAAAGAATCCATTTTTTTTCAAATTGCACGGGAAAAAAAATTTGGTAGACATTTTGACTAATAAATTGTTCAAATTAACAAGAATAATGTTAGTATCTACTTTATAATAGTTTTTTTTCTTAAATGGATCGCCATGACGGTAAAAAAAAAGAAAAAGATCAATTTTTTTCAAATTGCACGGGAAAAACAATTTGGTAGACATTTTGACTAATAAATTGTTCAAATTAACAAGAATAATGTTAGTATCAATTTTATATTGGTTTTTTTATGAAATGAATCGACCTGACGGTAAAAAAAGACAAAAATTAATATTTTTCAAACTACATGGGAAAAAAAATTTGTTAGACATTTTGACTAAAAAATTGCTCAAGTTAACAAGAATAATGTTAGTATCTACTTTATAATAGTTTTTTTTCTTAAATGGATCGCCATGACGGTAAAAAAAAAAGAAAAAGATCAATTTTTTTCAAATTGCACGGGAAAAAAAATTTGGTAGACATTTTGACTAATAAATTGCTCAAACTAACAAGAATATTGTTAGTATCAATTTTATATAATTAATTTTTTTTTAAATGAACCATCTTGGCGTCTTTATTAAATCTGATACGTAATTTGATAAAAAAAAGTAAGGATATTCTAGAAAAATGTAAAGAATATAAAAAATGAACTATAACTTACCTCGGTAGAAGCTGATGAATCACAAGCGGAGATTTGATGATTTTTCTCGGCGCTGGTTCGATGATTCGAATTCATATTGGTAGTTGTTGTTGTTGTTGTGGTGGTCGTAGTTTTTTCGGAACGAAAGTCGAGTAAAGAAAAATAATTATTATTCCTATCGTCGACGTTAGATTCAGATGATTCCTCGATGATGGTATTGTTGTTGTTGTGTAACTCATAATCCAGGGATTTGCAATCACGAACATTTTTAACGAGTGAACGGGCAAAAGAACTTTTAAAAAAATGACAGTGAGCCGATACTTCATTACCTATTGCAAATTGCACTTTTGACGAAGACGATACACTTTCCACAGCCATGATTTTATTTTCTTTCTTTTATTTCACTTTCACTATAACTTTTTATTTACACTAATCAAAAACAATTTAATTTTGGTATACCGGTAAATATAAAAAACAAACAAAAAATGAATATTGCGAAGATAAATGACGATTGAAAATGCACAAACGAACGAGATGCTTCGATTTATCCGATATGGATCATTATTCGCGTGTTTTAATAATCGATTATTTTATAATAATATAATTATTAGCACAAAATATTATTTTCACTGTAAATTATTTAGATGATGTATTTTCTTATAGACGATTTATATTTCTGAACAAATTTAACTCACCTCACGAAGAATGCCGATCGATCTTTACACAACGACGATGAGAAGTGAACGAAATATAACCACCCTCTCTTACTCTCTCTTACTCTCTCCCACTCTGATTGAGAAGAAACCACCCTTCTGAATGAGAAGAGGAGCGAGGAACGATCGGTGCTACCTCATCTCAGACAGTCGCGCTGACAGTAGAAATCTCACTGAGGATCAGCTCTCTGCTGAGCGGTTATAAGGCGTTCCCCCACCACCGACCGTTGATGCGCGCGCATCCAAACTCGAGTCACGTGATTAGCCCCACCAAATGCTTGATCACTAATTTAAAATAGGTTTAAATACATTTTGACATTTTTTAAGATTAATCATACAATTTATAACAGAAAACTACTAAAAAAATTCTCCCCACTGTTAAATAAACAGTTTTAGAAACTTTCACAATGAATGAAATAAAGAAAAACCGAAAAGGTGACAAAGAAAAATCACATTTATCCAAAAATGTTTCAGAAATGGACATTTATCTAAATTATTTTGTCAAAGAAACACATTTATTTAAAAGAATTATAGCCCCTTGAGACAACCTTAACGAATACCTGAAATCCCTTTTAAAAAAAAAACCGAAATTCCTTCTTTTTCTATTGAAAAAATAACCTTGAAAAACATTCTATAAATTTTCGAAAAAAAAAATCAGATTTTTTATTAGATGTCTTATAAATTAACGTTATAATAAATTCTTTTTCTAAAGCAACAATCAATGAAATACATGTGATTCTCCAAAATTTAAAAAAAAAAGCTTACTGCATGGTATATTTTTATTTTTGAAGGAGATGTACGTGAGCTATCAAGAAGATAATATTTATTTAAAAGAATTAATATCCCTTCGAGAGACAGGGGAACGTAAAGTTGACAACCTTAACGAATCTCTGATGTTCCTTTAGAAGACAATCTTAATTCTTTTCATACCTAGGAAAAAAAACAAACTTGAAAAACTTTCTATTTTCTTCACAATAGAATATTAAAAAAAAAAAATTTTTGAGTTTTCTAAGGATATCTTATAAATGAACGTTAGAATAAATTTTTTTTTCCAAGGGAACACATGGGGTACCCACCCACTCCAATTTACAGATTAACTTGACTGTATAAAAATATCAGACAAATTTCAACAGCAAAATTCAAGAACTTAATGGACCTACTATTATTATATATATATTTTTTTTTTGAAGGAGATGTACGTGAGATATGAAGAAGATAATATTTATTTAAAAGAATTAATATCCCTTCGAGAGACAGGGGAACGTAAAGTTGACAACCTTAACGAACCCCTGATGTCTCTTTAAAAGACAATTTTAATTCTTTTCATACCTAGGAAAAAAAACAACCTTGAAAAACTTTCTATTTTCTTCACAATAGAATATTAAAAAGAAGAAATTTGGAATTTTCTAAGGATGTCTTATAAATGAACGTTAGAATAAATTTTTTTTCCAAGAAAACACATGGGGTACCCATCCCCTCCAATTTACAGAATAACTTGACTGTATAAAAATATCAGAAAAATTTCAACAGCAAAATTCAAGAACTTAATGAACCTACTATTATTATATATATTTTTATTTTTGAAGGAGATGTACGTGAGATATGAAGAAGATAATATTTATTTAAAAGAAATATTATCCCTTGGGGGACAGGGGTTTCTTAAAATTACAACCTTAACGAACCCCTGATGTCCCTTTAAAAGACAATTTCAATTCTTTCCATACTAAGAAAAGGAAACAACCTTAAAAAGCTTTCTCTTTTTTTCTAGAGGTAATAAAATAAAAAGAAAAATCAGATCTTAAGAAGGATGTCTAAAAAATGAGAATTCCAATAAATTCTTTTTCCAAGGGATCATATGGAGTTCCTATCCAAMTTGAACAAAGCTTTTTTTATTAATCTTCTTTCTTTAAATTCTTACACGTTCTCAAAACAAATGTTAAAAAAGGAAACAATAGATTTCAATAAAACTGTCGTAGTGATTGATCCTAGTAAAGAAATGAAAATAATAAATGATAAGATCTACTGAGGAGAATCATTGAACTTGGGAACAATCTGAATGAATTGTCTCTTTCAGAAAACCTAAGTTTTTTACCTGCGAAAGGGATAATACAAAGACATACCTGAAGTAATAAAATTTTTTTTCTAAATTTCACGAAAAATTATAGAAGAAATCCGGAGTACAAATTTCTCTTTGTTTTTTTTACTACGATTGACCAGTTCTTTCTTTTTCTGTAACCATTTTTCGCTTTTTATTTTATACCTGCTTTGAAGATAATCTACAAAAATCCTACATAAAAAAAAAAAAGAGTAAAAGAAAACGTTTTGTTTCAAAGAAACTATTTTTTATCTTTAATCCGACGAAAACCTACCAATCTTTCCATACGATTTTAAACTTTTCACTTAAAACCCACTTAATACGAAGGTCTGTAAATGTGCGGAGTTGCTGCTACCCAGCGTCGAAAGTCGTGCGGAGTGCAAAGGGTTAATTAAATATTTACCTCAGTAATAAATGATACAAATAAAACCATTCGTTTGGATGTACAATCATCTTTTTCCAATATCTTTCTTAAACATGACCTTTGCAATCTATCAATTTGACGATCGTAACGATATTTAAGTTGTAGCATAACGTTAACTGGTATTAATGACCTATACAGGGTGGGTCACCACATTTTACCATCTAGTTTTACGTTATCATTATTACGCGTAGCAAACAATGTTTAACATGGAGTTGAATGGCTTTAAAAGGGGTTCATACTGATGGTATTTTTTTTTTAGGTGGACGTGTCAAGGACATATGAATTATGAAGGTCATTAATGTTTTTTTAAATGGAATCATATATTTTTCATTGCATCATCTGATGCTCTTTCATATTATTTACAAAAAAGTATTAACCTATTTATGTTAAAAAAATTATTACTTTAGGAGAGATATTTTAATTTTTATGTCTATTTACAAAAAAGGTTCAATATGGCGATCATTTGCATCAGAACACTTTCTGAATCGAGAAATTAATGACTCATTAACGTTTCTTAATATATCTGATGTTATTTTCTTGCATCCATTGACGATACGATCCTTTATATCGGCCATTGTAGTCGGATAGATCAATGTTAGGCTTTAAATTTATTTCTTGCTTCGATATAAGTTTGTTTTTAGAAGTATTATTGCATTTAACACTCTCTTCATTAATATCATTACTTGTATCATCTTTAATCATTAGTTTCAAATTCTGCTTTATGCTATACTGTAAACGCCTCTTTTTACCCCTTTTTCAGATAGTAGGTTGTCTTCAAGAGATAGACGGTACTTCTTTTTCACAATTATCTACTTAAGAAATCCATTCCATGGTTTAAACATTATCTCTTTCATCTGCTAAGAGTGCAGCTGTACTAGCCATTATTTCATTTAAAAAAATATTACTTCAGTTAATATTTTCTGTATTATCATAAAACTTTCGATTTTCTTTTTCTTCTATAATATCGGTGTCAGACAGTCTTACTTTCTTTGTATTACATAATAATTTATCTGTAGTATTATCACACATGTTTAGACTCTTTCGTTTATTTATAAATTTGTTAGCAAATTATTGCATTGATTAATATCGGAAGTATCGTCAGAAAGAAAATTTTCAGCTTTGTTCAATGTTTCCTTAGAAAAGTGCAGTTGTAAATCCAATTTTTGAAAGTTTGTTTTTTTCTAAAAGAGATTCATTTAAATTTGTGTTAATATTTTCTAAATCCTGTAGTGACTCAACACGTTTTTTTAATTCATTTCTAACGTTCTTATTAATTTGAATGTCATCTAATTGTTCAAACAGCATTTTCTGAGCATTGGATAATGTTTTATTGCAAATATTCAATGATCGACCATCAAATGTTGTTAAAGAAGATGTAATAGATTTGTTATTTTATGATTATTAAGTAAATTACTTTCATTGTTTAATTGAATATTCGTTAAGGATGTAATGTCATCTGCTTCAAGCAAAGATTTGGATATAGCAGACTTTGATACATTAATGTGTTTTCCACTTGCTGTAGAAAATCCTATATTATTCATTTTCACACTTATTATTCTAATATTACTATTCAATATTTTCTTTTCTTCACATTCATTTTTATCTACATTATAATTTCTTCTTAATACTGTAACATCTTCTGATACTTCTTCAAAACGCCTCTTTTTATTATTACTTTCAATATTATGCATATCATTATTTTTAGCGAATTTAACACAAATTTGATCTACGCTAGCAAAAGAAGCATCAGAGAAAAAATCTTGTGCATTATTACCTTCTAAAAAAATATTTTTCTTTTCTATATCATCGAATGTATTCATAACTACAATATCATTATCTTCATTACCTTGATTATTCAATGCAATATTATCAACGTTTACGTTAGATGAAATATTCTTTAAAATTCTCCTTTTAATTCTTCGTCTTATTCTTGTATAATTTATCACACGAGACGTTGAAGTAGATTATCATCAAATATATTCGTAGAATTTGAATTATATATATTTGGTGTACAATATTTTAAATAATTAGTTTATTCGATCTAAAATATAATCAATAATATTACATTATTAAACATGTATTTAATCGACACATACAATAATAAACATTAGCATTAAATTAAATCAAATTAATTACTTTCTCTGATGATTTTGTAGGAAAACTTTTATTCATTTCAGGTGTCTCTAAATCCGATGTCCATTGTTCATTAATCTAGCCGGAAAATGAAAAAGTTGTCTCTTTGAGTGAGAGCCCAATTACAAAATTCTAAACGTTTATATCAGTCATTTGCAGTCAGTTCTTGAACCTATGATACATGATATGAATGGTATTTGTGCTTTCTCAGTATGCGTAAATGCTTTTGCGGCTAATTCCAGCTTGTCTTTCGATTTCGCGAGAGCTAACGGATGGATTTATCGTAACTGCGGCTAACACTTCCCAAATCGTTGGATAAGACGGGGTGGGCCCATTCATTTTCCGGCTAGATCACCAGATCTAACGCCCCTCGACTTTTTCTTATTGGGCTACTTAAAAAATAAAGTTTACGCTGAGCCTCCGACTACAATGGCTGATATGAGGGATCGTATCGTCAATGAATGCTAGAAAATAACATCAGATACATTAAGAAACGTTAATGAGTCATTAATTTCTCGATTCAGAAAGTGTTCTGATGCAAATGGTCGCCACATTGAAACTTTTTTGTAAATAAAAATAAAAATATAAATATAAAAAAAATATAAAATCTAAATATCTCCTAAAATAATAATTTTTTTACATAAATAGGGTAATACTTTTTTGTAAATAATATGAAAGAGCATCAGATGATGCAATAAAAAATATATGATTCCATTTAAAAAAACATTAATGACCTTCATAATTCATATGTCCTTGACACGTCCACCTAAAAAAAAAATACCATCAGTATGAACCCCTTTTAAAGCCATTCAACTCCATGTTAAGCATTGTTTGCTACGCGTAATAATGATAACGTAAATCTAGATGGTAAAATGTGGTGACCCACCCTGTATATATTATATATTTCATATATATTATTTACTTAAATTAAATATGAATGATATATATGAATTAAATAGAAAAGATTTTAATTATTTCTAAATGATTAAAATGATGACCTAAAATGTATCATTGAATTTGTTTAATTCTCAAACTTCAAAATTATAATATAGTGAAAAATCTGTAAAAATGATGAGTTGTAGCAACAATTATAAGAAACAAAACAACAAAGTTTTAACAATTACTTTAGTTCGAATAAAAAATTGATCATTTGATTTCAAAAACTACATGTTATTTAGATGAAAAACTTATATTACTGTGTGACAAAGGTTACAATTAAAATAAAAACTTGTAATTTTTGGAGGTGAATATTTTTTGTTTATTCATTTTATATCATATGAGCCTCTGGACACATCCAAATTGAAAAATACATAAAATAGGGACCACCTTAATTTATGATTTTACAAATTAACAAATTTTTATTATTAAAATGGTCCAGTTATATTGTTATGTACATAGATAATAATAATATATACAAAATCATGCTTATATACATACATACATTCTAACTTTCAACTGATGACGATCTTTCAACTTTAATTCTTACATTGTTAGGTAAAAATCCTGTATTTGTTGTTTCATCAGATTTTTTCGAACGTTTCTTAGGAGTAGAATAAATATTACTTTCATCCGATATAGAATCATCTAATTTACTTTTTTTAAAAGGTTTTACATCTTCTTCATTGTTAACTTCATTTTTAGAACGTTTCTTGCGTGCTTTACTAATCGTTGGTTCGTGTGAAAATAAATATTTAACATCTTCATGAATAAATTCATTTTTTATTTTACGCTTTTCTGTTTTTATTTGTGTTTCTTCTAATTCTATCTGTGAATCATTTACTTCTTTATTACTTTCTTGGGAATTTTCCGATTTGTTAGATTTTTCAATTTTAATTGTAACATTATTACCAAATTCTGATTCAGAATCTGTTGAAGATTTTTTGATTCGTTTATTAGATGATTTCTGTCTATGATTTGGAGATTCTTCTTTGATATTATTTGACTTGGATAATTTCTCTGATTTAATTGGTGTTGTAAATTCGTTATTAGAATATCTTTCACTTTCTAATTCTTGTGTTTCAGAATATACATTATTACCATTTARATTTTCATCAGTAGAATCTTTAGCCTTTTTAGAATGTTTCTTTGATTTCTTAACGTGAACATTTGATTCGCTTTCAGAATTGGAAACATTTTTTT